TACTGCTGGTCCTATTGGATCGTCTGACCAACTAATAACAGCTTCGTCCTTGCCTGGTTGGACCTTAACTCCCTCTGGTACTGATGGAACTTTACAATAAGAAAGATATATGAATTAGGGATGTTAACTAACCATAACCAAGAAAAATATTCTCTATATTATTAAATATGTATCATTTCAAACCTGAAAGTCATTAAAACAATCAAAAATACTTAATAAAACTAATAATGATATCAACAAAAACAACAACAATAATAATAAAACTAAATTTACATATCTGTAAAACAGTATGGCTTTTCCTCACTGATATGAGACCGTATTTTTCCAGTGTTTGATGAATCACTGTGATTTATGTTGAAAGTACTTTATTTCTCATTATTATAATACATAAATTAATGTGGTGCTTCCAAGACTGGTCTCTATGTTATTGCTGAGAAAAAACTGCAGAGTTCTTGCCCTTACAGCGCAGAATACACCCAAAGGTCGTGGGGTAGTTTTTCATTTTACGTCTGTTTTGTAAGTACAAAGATTGTTGATGCATTTCAGAGCAAATTTTTGTTTGAACTGTAATTAGTTTTGAAATGTTCGAAACAAGGTAAATTGCAAAATTGTAAATTGGTAAAATTCAACAGTTTATCACTGTGAAAAATATGTCATATTATTATGTAATATTTCACTAGGCACATCTTTGTGATATGCAGTTTGCATGGACCATGTTTGATGAAGATCCCAAAATGGAAAGTGACTAAAGTGTTGTGGAGAAAATCACTGTTAAAAACATAAGGAAACAGGACAGTAGAAATGAATTCTTGACAAAAAAATAATTTCATTTTTTGCAGTAGCACCAAAAAACAATAATGAATACAGTAATGATATAAAAGTTACTTTTTCGAAACTTGACCAATCCTTTACTATGTAGGTAGCTGATTCTAAGCATGAAACCTTTAAAGAATGTTCCTATACAAGCACTACACTAGCATAGTGGAATTTAAGAAGATCTACCGCAGAGGGAGTAAGAAGAGAAGATGTAAACATCATCAGCAGACTACCACAGTCAATGCCTACAGCTGCTTGATATATTTTGAAAGTTCAAATCTATTTGTATATTATATAAACAGTATGCCATTTTGGTGATGATCATGAAATAAATTACATTAATTAATACATTAGATATAATATATTAATTAATTACTAATAAATATAAAAACAATGCTAATTATTCAAAAAGTAGAAGGTGTAAAAAAAATTGTGCCTGTAACCTATTTATTTCATTTATTAATGATAAAAATAATAGTAATGATAAAATGATGTTTCCCTTTAGAGATAAAATCTAATTATCAATTTTGCATGACTTAGTCCACTGAATTTGTCTTGCATAAATTGTTCCCCTCTTGAACATAATATGAATATAAATATCACTAATAATTATAAAAATAAACAACAAAGCTAATAATTAAGATAAAAACAGTAACAATAATAACAACTAAAATTAAAACTATATAATAATTAAATAATATATACAAGAAAAAAAATAGAAAAAAAAACTTACAGAGAAATGCAAAATTATTGCAAAGCTATCAACCGAAATTAGACTAATAGACAAGTATGTATGCCAGAAGAAATATAATTGAGAGAACAATAACACAGATGAGCCCAGTATTAATTGACTGCTTGGTATAGGATTCTTCCATTATGCTTATAGGGGTTAATACTTTACAATGCCTAAAGTGGAAATAATATTGTACTCTGCCAAGGGTAATGGTTTAACACTTTACAATTTGTTCACTACTGACTAAGAATTGTGAATTCATTTTAAAGGATGGTTTATGTTTAACGTTAACATCAAAATTTAGCTCCATGCTATGAATTTGAATATTTTAAAAACTTTGTTTATAATGTACTTCAAAATGGTTTAACTGGATTTTATAGAGGGCAGTATAACTATGAACGTCTCATGCTCCAGATTTATGAAGCACAAAAAATTATTGATAACAAAAGTAATAACAGAATAATGCATGGGCCTTTAATTAGCTGGTAATCAATAAAGATATTAGAAGCTGTAATTCAGCAAAAACTTAATTGCATCAATAATTGTTCCAATTGATGGATTTTACAGATTAAGCATAGATGATACATTTACAAAGGGGAGGTAACATTGGTAAGAATTTTACAACTTCTTCAAGCTACCAAGCATGTGAAAAAGTGTATATTAAGTAAACTGAATGTCAAATAATAATAGCATTATATATTTTTTGTATTCCTCCATATCTATTGTGACTTTTTTGTCAGACTTTTCAGATAATTACTCCGAAGATGTTTGGAATACATGATATACTAAAACTTCCCTTCAGTTGATTTAATAATGAATAATGAAATTGTCCTCTTACTTCCAGATTTTCTTGTTGCTTCCTCTATTAGATCTTGTTCCCCAAATCCGGCTGTATTGTATCCCTTTATTGTCACGATGTATATAGTCTCTGGTGTGAGGCCTTCAATGACACAGTCAACTTGCGTTGGTCCAAGATCGACTGTAGTATAATTTCCTGGTACTTCATTAATTTCTACACAAAATAAATGCTGAATTTCAATTTTATAATTTATATTGACTCCTCCACTATTTAGCACAAACTTTTTGCTCAATGAGATAAGAAACTTTTATTACATTCTTCCCACCTTTCTTCTTGCTAAACAAGTACGAAAAATCTATAGTACTAATATGTAGCAAATAGTGATTGAAAAAACCCTTACTTGGACTATATTTGACCTGGTAGGTGTCAACTTCTCCTCCTCTGGTAGCCGGAGCCCAAAACAGCTTCATCTTCTTGGACAGCATTACAATTTCAAAATTTAATGGTTGACCGGGAGCTAAAAGATTAAAATTCATACATAGATAAAGGTCAATATAAACATCCATAAACATGTTGAACACATTACAAAAATGCACTTTATTGTAATTGTATTATTAAGAGTTGAGAACAACACAAAAACTAACACTACCACCATTATAATCACCACCACTACTACAATCACTACCACAACCACTATGATCACCACCATTAGTATGGTCACCACCACTACAGTGATCCCCACCACCATTAGAGAGTTGTGACCTTCCATTTAAGTAAGTATTATATTAGGTAATAACACAACTTAATATATAAACATGGTAACACTTACGAGCTTCAGGAGTGCTGAATCGCTGCCTTTCACTAGCTGGTCCTTCCTTTTTACCATTTGCGACAACTACATATAGTTCATAATCTGTTGATGGTTTTAGGTTGCTGACCTCACAAGATGGTTTGACACACTCAACAGACTCAAGGGAGCCTGACACTTGTGCTGCAGATTCAGTGTAGTACACCTTTACAATAACAATTGTAACAATAACAATTGTAACAATAACATTAGTAATTAATAATACATACGTGAACATATATTCTAAATACTCGTGTATATATATATACATCAGGGATGGGCATGAAAAAACTGAGAGACGCACCCAAACTTTGATGTGTGGTTCCAAAAACCTTTATGCACTACTTTTCTATCGCTTTATGCTCCGTTTTAAGATTACTTTTTACAGATGTTCAGTGTCAGACCATACAAAACCAGGGGTTTTTAGCGAAAGATGGTTGGCGGGCCGCACGCATATGGGTTTTAATTTATGTACACAAACTGCAACAAAATACAAAATCACAGTCGGGCTGCATGTGACCTTTGAGCTGGACTTTGCCCACTTGGTAATATAAACAATATTCAAATTATGTTTGCTGATTAGCACTGTAAACACAATATAGATAAATAATCATAACAGCACACGTAATGTCATAATCGTATCAAGCATAGCCCTTCAACGTCATCATCATCATCACTGTATGGGTAGTCAACTGGCTTGGTAACACACAGCAGAAAAGCCTAACATGAGGGGCTCTGCTTGATACAATGACTTCATATGTTCCTATTAAGTATTACGGAATAAACAGAGCACCAATTTCAACACCCACCCTATAATATTTCAATTTTCCTTGAAGAGATTCAGCAGGAACAGGGTCGAAGGTTACCAATGCAGAGTTTGGCGAGGTCACATTGACATTGACATTTCCAGGAGCAGCTTGTGGGGCTGAAATAAAAAATTAAAGAAAATTTGAGGCCAACTCTCATATCATATTTTAAGTTCTTATTCAATTTTTAATTAGGTAGATCAAAGGAAATTAAAATAATTGGAAGGAATTTCAAATTATTCATAGCTTAATAATAGTTATATAGTTAGTATTCATTTTTTTTTATTTGGTAAAACTTTAAATAATTTATCCCACTCCTTGCTGTAAAGCAGATAGAGGAATTTTACAATATGCACTATATAAGTTCACAATTATTATTATTATTTTTATCAATATATTTTAAAGGTATGTTGTAAAAAAGTTTTGCTTTTGTATACAGTAAATGATTTTTAAAAGAAATTTAATATTAAAAGAAAGTTGCGGAAAATTTTTCTAATTTGAGTATCATGTCCAAGTGTTTATAATGCTACAAGAGTAAGTAGATAAAATGGTGAAATATTTTTTGAAAAAAATAAGCACATACTTCCTTCTCCTGAGTATCCAATAATCACTTGTGGTTCTGGGCCATCACCAAAATCATTAATAGCGGTGACTTTAATTTGGAATTCCTGGTAGATTTTCGTGTCCGTAACAGTTGTTGAACTTTGACCCTCTGGTACGATTTTATCCATCCAAACAGATGAAGACGTGTTCTTATATTCAATTTTGTATGCGAAACCTTCGCCTCCATATTGCGTAACATCCATTGGCTGTAGGTTCACAAATTAGAAGGTTATTGCATAGTAGTTATAATATTAATGTACGATCAACAAATGGGTTTAAGATAGAGTTTCATTTTCTAGTAACTATATCCCAGGATAAGTGAATTACATACTTATTAATGAATAAAAAGTATAGCCGCGTTAGTCTGTACAGTATAGAAAGTATAAAGTAAAAAACAGCAGCACTTTTGAGACTAACAATATTTAATTTATTCTCTAGCTTTCGTCCACACAGTGGACT